ACTCTAGTCATTATATAGTCTTCCTCAGAAGTCTTCCATGACTCCCCAGTGCCTCTCAAATCATGTTCACAATCATCCATGATCCCACCCAACCTGCTTTTACAGGCTTTATGCATTACCACTGTCCCCCACCCCAGGAAGCTATATGCTCACCAGTCCACATCAGAGTGCTTACAATTCTCAAAAAGCACTAGATTTTGTTGGGTTGGGTCTCTATCCATGTCCCTCAACTGAAATGCCCTTCCCTTTTCCCTTCCTCAATGTCTGTCTGTTAAACTGTGCCTTTTCTTTAAAGGTTAAGATAAATAGCTCATTTTCCATAAAACCATCACTTGAACTAGAATTCTTTCTTCTTTGTGTTCTGTTGGTGGTTCCTCTGTCTGTTCCTTGCTTATAGCACCCATCAGTTTCTCACTTATGTCTTGGTGTTATGTGGTATAAAAAAAATCAAGTAGTGAATTTAATTTAATGTGGTCCCAGGATTGGAATGCATCCAGGAACCTGGCAGAAATAAACATAAAACCTCTCTGGAGGAAAGCCACATAAGCCTCAAAAAATTCCCACTCATGAAGTTCCGAAGAAGTGGGGCCTGGAGTCAAAAATCACAAAACATACCAAATCACCATGGATGAGAGGCAGCAAAAATGGTATGCATCAAAGTAATTCAGAATACAAGAGATACAGAGAAGATCTCAAGACCAACCAGAAAGAAAGTCAACTCACTTATGAAGCAATATCACACTATAGTTTAATGCAGTACATAAGCAAATAAGGGCTAAGTGGCAAGTGCAGTGGCTAAGGGCATGAGCTCTGGGATGCGCTGACTGAGTTTCAATGCGCGTTCTATCCTTTGCAAGTACATTTTGGCAAGTTACTTTACCCCTCTATGGCTTAATTTTTTCATCTGTAAAATATGATTAATACCATTTTCAATTTTTTGTACTACATGAAAAATGCACACATATTTCCTAGAAGAGTATCTAGCATTTAAAAATGGTAGCTATTATTATTAAAGGAATTGGACAGCTGACTTCTCTTAGCAACAACAAAAAGCAGAAGACAATCAATCTAACTGTCAACCTAGAACTCTTGATTTACCCATTATTTATCTATATCTTTGTTCACTATTCCTTCTTGCATTTCAGAATGCCTTTCTGTTACCGTTTTTCTTTTGCCAAAAGTACAATCTTGAAATTTTTCAAGTTCATTTACAATGAACTTTTGTGAGAGTTCATTGGTTGTTAACTCCCCTAAGTGTAAGTAGTATATGAAAATCACAGTGAAACATGAACACCACAGTGAAAGTCATTTGAAACTCATCAGGTTTCAACAGGTTAAAAGTCTAGCCATCTCAAATGCTTCCAAAGAGACAGATATATGGAAGTTCTCATACAGCGCTGTCAGGGGTTTGAATTTGTAAAGCCAGTTTGGGAAAAAGTTGGGTATTACACAGAATTGTTGATCATGAGTACATTCCCAAATACATAATCTAGACAAGTTTTTACATGTGTGCACTGATAGACACGTATGAGAATATTCTTAGAAGCATTGTTTCTAATAGACAAAATCTGACAATAATCTGTCTCCATTAACAGAAGTATGGATAATTAAATATTATGCTCATCCCAGCAGCACTATCAAGATTGAACCTCAAAAAGATAAAGCTGAATGGAAAAAAAAAGTTATCGTATGAGTCCTTATCTAGAAAGTGCAAAAACATGCAAAACTAAATTCAGTTGACCCATGAACAATGTGAGTATTGGGGGCGCTGACCTCTCGCACAGCTGAAAATCCACATATAACTTTTGACTCCCTCAAAACTTAACTAATAGCCTACTCTTGACCAGAAGTCTTACTGATAAAATATAAATGGTATGTAATACATATTTTGTGTATTATATGTATTACATACTGAATCCTCACAATAAAGTAAGTGAGAGAAAAGAAAATCTTATTAAGAAAATCATAAGGAAAAGAAAAATACCTTTCCAGTACTGTACTGTATTTATAGAAAAAACTCCACATGTAAGTGGACCCACATGGTTCAAACCTACGCTGTTTAAGTGTTGCTTGGAGATACACTTATATGGTACAGGAATTATTAACACAAAATTCAGAATAATGGTTACCTCCAGGATCAGGGGTACATAAATAAGTGTGGTGGTACTAATAAGATTCTATTTCTGGGGTGCCTGGCTGGCTCGGTCAGTGGGAGCATGTGACTCTTGATCTCGGAGGTTGTGAGTTCGAGCCCCATATTGGGTATAAAGATTACTTAAAATAAAATCTTAAAAAAAAAATCTAATTCTTAGGCTAAGGAGTAAGAACTGAGGCAACAGTTTTATTCTTCCTTAATTCAAACATTTTTGTTTGTATGAAAGATCTTGTGAATAAAGAAAGCCTCATGCTTCGTTTTAAGAAAATTAATTTACATCAGACTTAAAGCATCCATCCCACAAGGCTAATAGAAAATTCCACTTTGGCTGTTATACGAGCTCTCCAATTTGAGAGTTATACAACAGTTTGTTTTTCCCTAACTTGAGGGTTATCCAAAGGTCCTGATGTTCTACATGAGCCAACACACCAAGGAGGCCCCTCTGGCCCAGGATGTAGTAGCTTCCTTCCATGTCCCACAGGCCCTGCTATGTCTGCCCCACGCTTGGCATGCAGGGATCTTTGGGGACAAGGGAGCAGGGGAGGGGCCAGGAGTCCCTGGGCTTAGAATTTAGCTTCCTCAGCATATCATGCAGCTAAACCTTCTGAGACCTTTCCAACTCCCCATGTAAATTAGCCTCCATTCCTGGCTGTGTATCTTTGAACTCTCTGTGGATTCTCACGTCAGTGCTATACTCTTTCCTTATTAGAGCTTTCAAATACACACTAACTTTTTTTTTTTTTTTAAAGATTTTGTTTATTTATTTGACAGAGAGAGACACAGGGAGAGAGGAAACACAAGCAGGGGAAGTGGGAGAGGGAGGAGCAGGCTTCCCGCGGAGCAGGGAGCCCATTGTGGGGCTCGATCCCAGACCCTGGGATCATGACCTGAGCTGAAGGCAGACGTTTAACGACTGAGCCACCCAGGCGCCCACACACTAACTTTTTAACAAGTTCTCTATTGTTAAAATTCTCCTTGTGGCTTTTATTAGCCTTGAGTAGCTGCCCCTATCTACTTGGGGACAAAATGTCTCAGAGGAAGGATCTCCTATCACCATATCCTCTGGATTACCCTGTCCCTACCTCACCCCCATTCTCCCCTGACGGGGTCTGTATTTTCAAGCCCTTTTCCAGGAAGAAAAATGGAATCTCTATAGAAAGCCATATCCCTTGTCAATCTCTCCTCCTAAACCTGTTTTTGGCCAGTTTGACATCATTTCTGCTGCAGAATAAATTGTAAATCATCTTAATTAAATCCAACACAGAGAATCGGTCATTTAAAATAGTTACAAAACTTAATGCCATTTGCTTCTTAGGTCCCCACTGAAAAAGCAGGGTTGCAGTATCATAATTCCTCTAAAGCTGACACAACAAACATCCTTTCTCCCAGTTGAACAATTTATGTACTTGCTTGAGGGGCTATCTAATCTCTCAAACAAAAAACTGTATCTAAAACTTCGGGGCATTCTTGGCTTTCACTTTAGTAAATAAAGAATTCCATTTTGTTTTCTTCCTCAGGGACAACATTCTTTACCAGATGAGATGCTTCACCCTGACTGGAGAAAGGGAGTGTCTTGGAAAAAGAAAAAGTAAGTCATTAAGCGTGCACTCTCTCTCTCACACACACATACACATACGCCCAGGCACCATAGATTTAAAGACACAGTGACTCCCACGCCTCCATTACTGTTCACCCCGAGGACGTTGATTGCTCTCAGGTAGTCCAACTTTATCTTTTTTTTTTTTTTTAAGATTTTATTTATTTATTTGACAGAGACAGAGATAGCGAGAGCAGGAACACAAGCAGCGGGAGTGAGAGAGGTAGAAGCAGGCTTCCCCCTGAGAAGGGAGCCCGATGTGGGACTCGATCCCAGGACCCTGGGATCATGACCTGAGCCGAAGGCAGACGCCCAACGACTGAGCCACCAAGGCGCCCTCCCAACTTTATCTTTATCTTTATCCCAACTACCCTTGGAGAGTTGTTGATTTCTAATCACCCTTTGAAAATCCTTATGACTTTACAATATAAACTCATATTTTACCTTTCATCCTTCCTCTAACACATCATTCCTTCACACTCCTGAGCTGACGGGGTTGCTGCGTAGGTACCAGCCACGTTAGGCTCGGATGCCTGGCTGGCTGGCAGTTCTTTTCCACCTCACTTGCAGTGCAAGATATGGGCCTCTGCAAGTTCCATTTCACCTCTTCTCCCAGCTGAGATTTCAGTGGGTTTAACCCTCCTGCCGGTGTAGACTCTGACCATCCTTGTTCCATCAGAGCAATCCCTTCTTTGGTCTAGTTTAGGAGCCAGGGTGTAATCTGCGTAGTTCTGGTCAAAAGGAAGCCCAATGACTTTGGTTAAATGCTTAGAGCAGGAGATACCCTGTTTCTTCTCCTGGATATAAGTAGGGAAGCATGTAGCCTCAGGCTGCTTGTAATCAGCTTGTTCCCATGAGGGGATTCAGCCATCAGACCAAGCCAATACCTGGAGAAGGCTCACAGAAGCCCCTGCTCAGTAGCTTGAAGTCCAACTTCTCTCAGGATGTTATGTGAGATAGTGATTGTTTAAGCCACTTGGACTTGGGTTTTCTGCTGCTTGTGACTAAAAAATATCCTGATACACTAAATCATCTCTGATCCTGGGAAGTGACTCCAATCATCCCGAGAGGGGCCTCCCTTCCCATGGCAGGGCTGGGTGGGCCTCCCTCAGAGGCCCAAATCCAAGTCTAGCCATTTCCTGCTTTCTTTTCTCCTGTCAATGTTCAGTGCCCATTTCTGGTGACCTTTATTTTCTGTCTCATTTCTTAAAAAACAAACATACAAACAAACAAAACCCACAGAATTAATTCGACTTTTAAAGTTTAATTTAAACTTAATTTTTATTTCAACAATACATATTTACAAGTTAGATGGCTAAAAAGTTCTTAAAAGGAAAAGAGAAATCTCCACTGTATTGTCCCACCCCAAACTCTCCAGAGGCCATCCCTGTCCGTCCTTTTCACAGTTTCTTCTGGACTGTAGCTCCTATTGCTAAATAAGATTTTTCTACAGCTTTTATCATTCTCTAGCTTTAGTTGTTATGCATTTTCTGTGATGGCAGATGGAGACCTAGACTTCTTACACCCCTCCCCCACATACATATCCTCTCATTTCTTAAAAAAGTTATATCACAGTATTTTGTTATTTACATTATTCTCTGTGTAAACATTAGTCACAGCTGAGCCATGTAGTGTACTACGATTATACTTCTGTTCTTAAACAACTGTTTTTCTGCTAGCATTCATTGATCACAGTGTCTTTTCCCTTGCTTATTTTTCTATGTATTTTCACTACTTCATCCCAAGTTCTTCAAGAAAAGTACAAATCCCTCCAATGCACGCAAATCAATTAGTTTCTTGTTTTTCTGCTACCACCAACATCTTATGTTGTTCACCTTTCTCCTGTGTTGGATTCCTTGTTTCTTAGATGCCATGTTTTCTTCTATCTTGGCTTAATCATTTATTTTGGAGGAGCAAATCCTCCAGTGGGTTTCTGATAAAAAGTGCAAGGGTGATAAAAGTGTTGAGACCTTTCATACTGAAAATGTCTCTGTCTACCCTCTCATTTATTTGTAGGTGTTTTTCATGTTTGGGCCTTTGCCCCCTGCCCCCAAAGTGTAGTGGTCATTGACTGTTCATAATTAAGAGTGAGGCTCTAACAGGTTGACTAGATGCTCTCTGAATGGAAGGGATTAGTTGCACTGTGGGCTTCCCTTTCAGGTAGGTAATAGGGCAGGTGCTGGCTTTTGTGTTGGGAAATCCTCAACAGTCTGTATCTGTTAGTCTTTTTCTTGGGTCGGACAGTTTCCCCATAGGGGGATCCTGCGGGCTCCTGTTTTGACAGGATATGAGTCTATCAGCATTCTGACAGCTGAGTAAGGGAAGGGCCCTGGGGCTCTTGTTTACTATGAAGATATTCCCTTTCTCCCTAGCTTGAGGTGACCACCTCCCTCCCACACTCCACTCCCCCTGAGGTCAATAACTCCAAAGAGAAAATCTTGTGAGAATGAGGAGAGGTAGGTGCCTGGTGGGGAAAGGGAACTTTTATTCACTTTCTACCAATCTTCCTGGAGATTTGTAGGGAGAGCGGTGGTGTAAGCACCAGCTAACCCTTCTCCACAGATATTTTTTAAACCCTTACAAGCTGTGTGAACTTGAACAAGCTTCTTAATTTCTCTGAGCTTCAGGTTCTTCATTCGTAAAGTAGAAACATAAGACTTTGGTGTGAGGGTTAAGTAGGGTTACTGAATGTGAAGTGTCTGGCACAGTCTGCCCAGCATGGAGAGAGCATTCAATTGTTGGTGGTACAGTGGTCTGGGGTCTGGAGGAAGAAGTTGGTAGTCTCCCTAGCTTTGTTTCAGTGGACAGAAAGAACCCCTTCCCACTATCCAGTTCTTTTCCGTACTCCTTCAAAAGGAAAGCCACCCTATTCATATTTTGCCAAAATATTAATAGAACGTCAGGGGTACAACAACCTTTACAACTTGTCCTCTACCCCACCCTCTCTCTCAGTGCCCAGCCAAACACTTAGAGCAACCACCTCTCTTCTGGCTCCCATCCCAATAGATTAATGTGCAAGACTGAGAACTGCAGTGAAGTCAGTCCAAACCTAAATCCCAAGAGTAAAATTGACCCCCTCTTCTCGGCTATTTCACACATAATCCCGCCACCCCTAGGCAATGGCCCAGTTCCTCCTCTTACTCTTCCTATCTTTTCTAGCCCCCTGGCAAGAGACAGGCAAAGAGAACCTTCTTGCCTTCAGTGTACTAGAGCCTCTTTCCCAGTGCAAAATGAAATTTCTCCTTCTCCCTACTTTTCACCAGCTCTTTCTTGCCCCCAGTCCTTCTCTCCCTTTTTCTCTCACTGTTCTTGTTTGGGACCTTGACTCTGCTTTGTCAAAGGGCAGCCTTCTTCACAAAGTCTTTTCAGTGAATTCTTAGGATGCTTTTCTTATCTGCTCTGGAACCTCCTTTAGCTTTGTTAACTGGCTATATCTTAGGGGATTGAAGATGCAAGAGGAACTGGAGAAGCTGGGGAATCTGAGCTTATCTTAAAGTTAATTTAGAATGCCTGGTGGGACCAAGATCTGGTGGTACAGAATCTGATGAAAAGAAGCACACAATTGCTAAGTATTTTTTCCCAGTCTAACATTTTAGGTTGCAAGACTAGTGGAGATTTTGCTTGCTACATTTCTCATCTAGACTCAACCACTGAAAACACACCTAATAAAATGTTTGGAGTAGGACTTGATTGACCTTTGTGGAAATGGTGTAAATACATGGTCATTTGAGACTATGTGTGAATGAAGGTCAGCATAAGGATACAAGAACAGGCCTCACCTCCTAACCCCTTAAACTTGTGTTTCCTTTTTCAACCACATGCAGACAGGAATGCTGCACTTTTTCTTCTGTAGGTGATCTTTTAGGAGTATGGACCTTAGTCTGTCCTTAAAATTTTCCGCAGCAAAGTAATAGAGCAAAGGATTGAGGCAGCTGTTGGCTGCTGCCAAGGCCAGTGTGATGACCACAGCTTTATGCAGCTTGTCTTGGCATTTATTCACTTTCCACACAAGCAGGTGCAGGGTCCTCAGTACATGATAGGGCAGGAAACACAGGAGGAAGATGATCAAGGCAATGATGATGGTGATAAGTGCCTTCTTGTGAGAAACCCGCAGACCCGATTCTGGGACCTCCACCTTTAACAGAGCTCGAATGATCAGCAGGTAACAAATGCTGAGCATGAAGAATGGCAGCAGGAAGCCTATCACCAAGGCAATGTAGTTCATGGTCTGCAGTTTAACAATTTTACCGATATTCAACTCTAAGCATAATATGGCACCGCCCTTCTGCTCAGAGCCATTTTTCAGAAGCACTACGGAGGAAGCCATGATAAGGATCCATATGATCCCACACAGAGTCCAGGCACTCCTGATGCTGGTGACATGGAGGAGCCGGAAGGGGTGAACAGTTGCCAGGAAACGCACGATGCTCAGCACAGTCAGGAAATAAATGCTGCTGTACATGTTGACATACATAGAATAAGACATAATCCTGCAGGCCAGGTCCCCAAATATCCAATTGGAACCTCTGAGGTAATAGTCAGCTCTGAAGGGTAGTGTACTTGTGAATAAGAAATCTGAAATGGCCAGGTTTAGCATGAAAACATTCACAGACGTGGACTTCTTATAAGACTGCAGGAAAACATAGATGGAAAAGCCATTTCCCAAGGCTCCCCAGACAAATATTATCAGGTACACAGAGGGGTAAAAATCCCTTTTGAAGTTCTCAATTGAACAGTTCCTGTTGCTGTCGTTACTGTTGAAGGTGCCATTGGGTTCCATTTCTGGTATGGAGATGGATGGAGGCAAGGACATAAGTTTTCTCTCCATGCTGGATTAAAAAGAAACAGACATAAGAAGTTACTTCTTGGGTGCCTGGGTGGCTCAGTTGTTAAGCATCTGCCTTCGGCTCAGGTCATGATCCCAGGGTCCTGGGATTGAGTCCCACATCGGGCTTCCTGCTCTACAGGAAGCCTGCTTCTTCCTCTCCCACTCCCCCTGCTTGTGTTCCTGCTCTCACTATGTCTCTCTCTGTCAAATAAATAAATAAAATCTTTAAAAAAAAAAAAAAAGAAGTTACTTCTTGCTCACTACCTACATCTTTCCAGATTTTAATGAAATGGAGAAATACTAGCTTTTCTTTGCTACTTGAGTCAAAAAATACCAGAAAAGTCTTTACTGTATGCTCCATTATATTTCATGATAAATTTCTAGAATGTAAACTAAACATTAATTTTATTTGACTGAAGCTGAAGCCTCAAACTTGGGGGACCTTTGGTCCAGTGCTTATGTTAATACTGCAGTCTAAATCTACCAAACAGCAGATGTCTCATTAGAATGTATGGAAGACAAAAGGAAGTGGCACAACATTTTCAAGTGCTAAAACAAAAGTCTACCAACCCGGAGCTCTTTATCCAGCAAAAATACCCTTCAAATATGAAGGAGAAGTCAAGACATTCTCAGATGATAGAAAACTAAGAGAATTTGTTGCCAGCAACAAACCTACCCTAAATGAATGGCTAAAAGAAGTCCTCTAGACAGAAAGGAATCAATAAAAGAAGGAACCTAGAACATCAAAAAAGACGTAGATCATGAAAAGCAAAAATATGGGTAAGTACAATAGGATTTTCTTCTCTTTTTGAGTCTAAGTTATGTTTGATGACTGAAACAAAAACTCCAACATTGCCTGATGTGATTTGATATGATGTAGGGGAAGTTTTAAAGATAATTATATTGTAAATGGGGGAGGGTAAAGGGACACAAAGGAGGTAAGGTTTCCACACTCTACTTGAGTTGGTAAAATGATGACACCAATAGACTGTGGTAAATGATGTATGTGTAATGTAACACCTAGAGCAGCCATTAAAAAGCTATACAAAGAGATATGCTCAAAAACACTAGAGATAAATCAAAATGTAATTCTGAAAAGTGTTCACGTCACCAGCAGGAAGATAGGAAAAAGAAAATAGATCATGCAAATAGAAAAATACAAAAAAATGGCAGACTTATCCCTGACAAATCAATAATTACATTAAATATAAATAATTACATTAAATATAAATAGTCTAAATATACCAACTAAAATATAGATTGGCAGACTGGAATATATATATATTATATATATATAAATTATATACTGTATATAAGAAACTCACTTCAAATAACAGTATTGGCAGGTTGAAAGTAAAAGGATGAAAAACGTTTGTGTCATACAAACATTAAAGGAAATCAGGGATGGCTCTTAATATCAAATAAAGTAAACTTCAGAACAGAGAAAATTCTGAGAAAGGGACATTATATAATCATAAAATAGTTTATCTGCCAAAAAGACACACAGGTTCAAAATGTGTATGCACCAAACAACAGAGTTGCAAACTATGTGAAGGAAAAACTGATAGAATTGAAAGGAGAAATACATAAGTCCACAGTTATAGTTGGTAATTTCAAAACCTTGTCTCAATAACTGATAGAGCAAATAGACAAAAACTCAGTAGGAATATGATAAACCTCAAATACAACATCAACCAACAGGAACCAATTGACATTTATAAAATACTCTATTCAACAAAAGCAGAAGACACACTCTTTTCAAGTGCCCACAGAACATATACCCAAACAAACCACATCCTGGGCCATAAAACAAACCTCAACAGATTTAAAAGAATTGAAATCATACAGAGTGTGCTCTCTAACTACTATGGAATCAAACTAGAAATCAATAGCAGAAATATAGAAAATCCCCAAATACTTGGAAACTAAACAACACACTTCTAAATATTCCATGGGTCAAAGAGGAAGTCTCAAGGGAAACCAAATAATATACTGAACTGAATAAAAATGAAAATGCACCATATCAAAACTTGTGGGGTATAGCAAAAGCAGTGCTGAAAGGAAACTGTGTAATACTAAATGCATACATTACCAAAGAAAAAGTTTTAAATCAGTCATCTAAGCTACCATCTCAAGAAGCTAAAAAAAATCCTTTAAAAGTAAAATAAACTTGGGTAACCTGGGTGGCTCAGTTGGTTAGGTGTTTGAATCTTGATCTCAGCTCAGGTCTTGATCTCAGGGTTATGAGTTCAAGCCCTCATGGGGCTCCACATTGAGCATGGAGCCTACTTAAAAAAAAAAAATGTGAAATAAATCCAAAGCAAGCAAAAGAAGGGAAATAATAAAGGTAAAAGCAGAAATCAAGGAAATTAAAAACAAAACAGAGAAAAATCAATGAAAGAAAGAACTGTTCTCTGAAAAGATCAATACAATTGACAAACCTGTAGCAAGACAGACAAAAGTAAAACTAGAGCAGACACAAATTGCCATTATCAGGAATGAAACAGGGGACATAATTATAGACACTGCAGACATCAATAGTATAAGGGAATACTATGAACACCTCTACACACATAAATTTGATAACTTAAGTGAAACGGACTAATTCCTTAAAAAAAAAAAACAAAACTACCCCAACTCACCACATACAAAATGATAATTAGAACTACTGAGAAAATTACAATTTAAAACTCTAAAAAGGAATCTCCAAGTCCAGGTGGTATCACTGGAGAATTCTACCAAATTCTACCATATTTAAATAAGAATTAACACCAGTTCCATATAATCTCTTCCAGAAAATAGGAGAGGAGGATACACATCCCAATTTATTTTATGAAGCTAGTATTACCTTGATACTAAAACCAGACACAGTATAAAACCAAAGACTACAAACCAATATTCCTTATGAATATAGACACAAAATCTCTTAGCAAAATATTAGCAAATAAAATTTAGCAATATTACAAAAAGAATTATGCACCACAACCAAGTAGGGTTTATTTCATGCATTCAAGTCTGGTTCAATATTCAATATATTTCACGTAAAAATTGTCTTTTTTTAGTGTTAATGTCATATTCATCTAAAGCAGTTTCCTCTTCCTTTTTTTCTTTCTTTCAATTCCTCTTTCTCTTTTTCCCTCTCTTAGGAAATGAATGATTACCTGATCAAAAGAGTCCTTCACTCTTTATGTGCACGTTCTAGGAACATATGGTCTAAATAAACAGGCACAATGTCTGAAATAAAGGAAGACAAAGTTATTAAGAGGTATTTCATTTTGTGGACACTAAAAGTGTATTTACATAATAGCTTTTATTATTACAGTTGTAAGAAAACAAGAAAGGGCATTCTTTTCAAGTTAAAAGAAGATACCAATTTTGGCATGTTTCAAAGTCTTTAAAAAATTAATTTATTATATGGTAACAAGTGTCAGCACAATATTTTGATCTGAACAAGGCCAGGGTTAAATTGCCTTTGATTAAACTGAATTTCCTGCATGGGATTTATGAATTAAGCAATATTCCACTATTTCCATAACTTGTTTAAAATTTAAAATTATACATATAAAATTGTATTTAACTAAAATGAATGATAACAATGAATTCTTTTTAAAGATTTAATTTTATGACATTCTTACTTTGGGACAAATCATAAGAATTTAATGTTTTAACTAAAACTGTAATTTCCTGATCTTTAACTAACTTAAAGACCTTAGACAAATAGTTAATAAATAATCTTTGGAAGCCCAAACAATTTCTAAATAAGAAATAGATACAAAACAGTGGTTATTCAATATAATGAATTGAATGAATATAAATTTTTACTTTATTTTTTACAAGGGTAATAGATGAACAAAATGTGTAAATGCCTTTGGATTATACTTTTAAATTCTATTATATTTTAAAATTGTTTAGATTGTATGACAAATGCTAGTAGACAGAAAAATATCTAAATTAGTCTTTATTTTCTCTCCTCTAACTGTTCTTATGCTTGATGAAAAGGAAGGTTGATTACCTTGGTCAAGATGATAATTAATATAGTTAATACAGAGAAATACAAATATGTATACAAGATAATGAATATGATTTTCTGTTTATTAAGAAAGCTGGAATAGTTTATTCAGAGGGCAAATTTAATTTATACACACACTGTTTTATTTAATAGACTTAATTTTAAAGCTATAGTTTAATACTTTAAATTCATTACTTATTAGTGTATTTATATATTTGTGAATGCCTAAATGCATACATATGAGGACATACTAATAAATCCTTAACTGTAGGTTGTTAAACATGAATAATGTATAAAAAGAGTAAAATTATAACATAAAATAATTAGGTTATTTTATACTCAGTAGTAAAGATATTTTCATCAATAAAATATTCTGTTAAATTTCAGTGCTTCTGATATACTTTCAAGTCATTTTTTAAAAGATTCCTTGCTTTCAAAATAAAGTTTTTAATAACTATTGTTAATTTCTCAGTGTTTTTACAATGTTTCCTATAATTATTTCTTGACTCTAAATACTTACGAGTTATATCTTCTCTCCTTAAGCAACTATTCCTGATTCTTTCTTTCCCAAATTCAGACACCCAAATTTAGGATAAAGCCATTAATTTGTTTTTTGTGCCCAAACCATCTTGGGGTTTTATTAAAATGGCCAAGGGGTAATACAAGCTTTGTTCCTTCATCCTATGAAAGGAAGGAACAGTGGGAATAATTAGATTTCTAAAAATCCTCTGAATTTTAATTAATCTAAAACTATTGCGAGAGCGTTTTGGTTTGCCAAACAAGTAATAAGAAAGCCGATAAGTTACCCCAAAAAAGTTGATTATACTTAGGTAAAATATGCTAATGCAAATATCTTTCAGGGATTACATATTTTTAAGTTAAAAGAAGCATGTTTGCATTTAAATGCAAAGATTACTATAACCGAGATAAAAAGATTTTTTCCCAGGTTTCTAGATTCACGAACCCTTTCTCCTTTTTGGTCATGACCAATCTGAACAAGCACTAGACTTTCTGATTCAGTTACATGGGAATCGTCAGAGGTCAACTTTTGATTTCAGTCTTTCATCAGACCTACTAGCCACATGTAACCATCTTGTTTAAGAGCTATAGCAGCTCCAGCAAGGCTTCTAGAAGCCTTAAGTCAACTTTGTCAACTTAGTTCTATGGTCTCCACTAAACTTAATAGTCTCCCTGTTGGGGGCACCTGGCTGACTCAGTAGGCAGGGCGTGGGACTCTTGATCTCTGGGTTCTGAGTTCAAGCCCCACATTGGGTGTAGGGATTACTTAAAAAAAATAGTTTCCCCCTGTTCCTTTTATTAGATATGACTTGGGACTTCTCAGCCAAATCACATAAGCTCCTATACAATTCTGCTGGTTTCCCTTAAAACATAACGATCCATTACTGTAACATTAAACCAAGCTACCCTGATTTCCTCCTATGTGTGTGTGTGTGTGTGTAAAAGCCCATGACTGGTTATCTTAGTAACCGAGGTGTCCATACCTTGCATGGACCTTCTAGATTCTCCCTTGCATATCCCTGATTTAATTTTGTTGGCTCATACTTAGAAAGAAAGATAAAATTGCCAAGCAGGCTATGCTATCTCTGATTTGAATTTACTCTTGAAATATAAGCTTTATCTTGAAATAAAATAAAGTCAGATGACCAAGTTAAGTGCCTTTACCCAGACTTGCTGACAAAAGGATAAAAGAACAAATACTTATATGGATACACGGAATATGATTTTGGATTCATCCATGAATTCAAAATACGTTAGAAATAGAGATTTCCTGACACTACAAGACTCCCTATAAAGTAAACAATGAATCAGAGAACCCTCAGATGTTTGCTACCACTCAAAGAAACAGCCATAATAAAAGTAGAGTTTAGCAAGGCTGCTTCATGGTATTACCTACAACAACTGAGATGAACTGGCGATGGTATTAAACCAACACCGGCAGGGTAATCTGAAGGCTACTGCTAAGGATGCTCCCATGCATGCCCTATCTGCCGTCAACACAATGCTAGCAAGTCTGTAAAGGTAGAACATGGACAACCACAGTCCCAAGGCTCCTTTGAACATCTCCAGAAGGTCTTTGAATGTGTTCTGGTTATTGTTTATTCTCAGAGCGTGTTAAGGCTTTTCTTTGCTATAGAGCTCTGTCTGGGGTATGGTAGGAAAAAAAAAAATTGCTTAATTTGGGAATCCCAGCTTGTCTCTTCTGTAAGAGACACACATTTCACTGATAGAGTCATCAAAGAACAGTAAAGCTTTAACTTTTACTTAGAAACGTCGCTGTCCTTATCCACAGACAACAGGGAATGTAACAAGAACTAATGGAATTCTAACACCCTCAAACTTCTAAGGATTGAAGTGTTTCCATTGGCCTTGATTACAGGCAATGAGATCAATCCCCCCTGGAACCCAGAAATTATCTCCTCCCGAGTACATAACAAGCTGCCTTGTGCATTTGGGGATTACTTCCAATCCTTGATCCTATTCTATTGTGATCTAATGTGATGACTACAGGGAAGTTGCATTTCCAAAATATTCTCCAAAGCTGTCTCCGTGTGATCTGAAACCTAGATATTTGGTCTTCCAGAAAAGACATCAGAGAAAAACTTCTCTTGACCCTAGATGGAGAGGATCCTATTGCTATCTTTAACAACAGACACTGTATTAACACTCCAATATTTTAACTTTTGGACTCATGTCTCCCAACTAAAAAGACACACAGAACTTTCCCTCAACTACTGGAAGTCCATTCCTTTGAAAAACCTCAAACTGAAGATTTTTAGAAATTCTCCAGAAGCTGTTGATTTATAGAAGGGCAGATATTGACTACAGAAGCAGACAGCTTTCACACAAGACAGAACAAAATTAATTTTCTAATTCTTTAGCACCCTTTTCTTTCTCCTTACTACTCATTTTGTTCATCATTGTACTTTTACCCTGTCTATTAACTAATATGATCTCCCTTATCTTCATCCTGGGACCCATTACAGTCTTTGCCACTTAAGAGAAAACAGAATTCTCTGAGTTGTTTTTTCTTTTTTTTTCAAGTAGGCACCACACCCAGCATGGAGCTCAATGTGGGGCTTGAACTCACAACCCTGAGACCAAGACCTGAGCTCAAGAGTCGGATACTTAACTGACTGAGCCACGCAGGCACCCCTCTGGGTTGTTTGTTTTTTCTTAGATCATAGCTACTGTTCTGAATTTAACTGATTGCTGACAACATTTAATAACTAAAACCAACCAAACAAAAAACAAATAAATAAAAAAACACTTCAAGATGTAAATTTTCTTCTCCATATCCCTTCTGATAGTTAAGTTTCCCCTCACATAATTAACCCCAATTTCAGTCTTATAAAAATTGTATATTGACCCCATATCAACAAAATGCTTCTGCTGAAGTCCTTACAACCCTATCGGCAAAACCTAACCCTTTGGGAGTGGGAACAAAGATTGGGTCTAACCCGGATGGAAATCATTATTTTCTTCAACAACCTTCCAGCCTGCTTTGCAGGACCTGTTTGACTCCACTAAAGGCATCTGTCCACATCAAATGACTTTCCACCCACAGATGCTCAAATAATGAAAAAGGCTCATTCCTATTTTGAGAAATGATTCTTAAATTCCCCGTTACCACTCGTCTACTTCTTATGTGGACATCGGGCTTACACCCACCTGCCACACACTAACTTACCCTGTGTACTCAAGGTCATTGTTAGAGGATGTCAGATGTTTAAAATTACCACCCCTCCAGGAATTGTGTTTCCCTAAAAAGAATACACAGAGACATCTGAGAGAGGCAGGTACAGGCTAATTGAGAGAAGTCTCTCTCAGGAGAGAGAACCAATTGCCTGGTGTGCATACTGTGTAAGCAACAACTACCAGAGTTGGAATAATGCAACTGGAAAGAATCACTCATAACTTATTTCTCACCCTGGCAAGAGTCTTATTTATTTACAGTGTACAACTTCTGCTCTGGAAGCTGACAAAGACTCGCTCCTTGATCAAACTCTAGCCAGGCTCCTCTGAGCCCTCTTCCTGATAGGCTTCCAACCTGCTCTATAAAGACTTGAATAAAGGATTAACAGTTTTTTGTTTTTTGTTTTTCAGTGTTAACATTTTTTTAATTATAAAAATGACAGTAGATTGTAAATGCTTTTGTAGTCTATAAATAATTTTTCTATAAACAAAATGTCATGATCATTTTCCCATTCAATAGATTTTCTACTACAAGATAAAAAAAAGATTGCTTATGTAAATGCTAAGGATATAACATGACTCTAAGCCAGAGAACTCTGCCTCATGCCCAAACACATAAGGATTAATGGTAGGATGGAGGAGAAAACATTTCTGAAGGGGTAGATGGCCTAGCCTAACCACATAAATATGCAACAACTGTTCTTACAGTTTATGAGGGCTTCTCAACCTGTGTTTGCCACACTCTTCTTTTTTTTTTTTTTTAACATTTTTTATTTAAATTCAATTAATTAACATATAATGTATTATTGGTTTGAGAGGTACAGGTCTGTGATTCATCGGTCTTATACCCAGTGCTCATTACATCACATGCCTTCCTTAATGAAGGACTAACAGGTTTTTTTTTGTTTTTTTTTTAACAGTTCAGGGCTACATCTCTAGGATGACCAAAACCTCCTCTTCTTGTAGAGCCTGAAAAAACTCAAGGCTATCAAAAGAACTTACTGTTTGTTCCAGACAACACCTGAAGATAGGGCTCCTGTCTCCCAGCCTCTGTGGGAGGGTAGGATCCTAAGCTTCGAAAGTGTCAGTTAGCAAACCCAGATGGAATTCACATGGGCCAACCTCCCCTTCCCATTTTTTGTAATTTTTCACTTCCCTGACTCTGCCGAGCACCTGTTTACCCCCTCTCTATTCCTTCATTCTTCCTTAAAAACATCCACTCACCTCTGTAAAAAATGAAGTTGAGTTCAGTTCATATTGGACTCTTCTCTACTGCAATAGTATATTACTGATTAAAATCTCTCCTTTAACTAGCATGTGGCTTTGTTTATCTTTGGCAAAGCCCAGGTTTAAATGTAAATTCATTAGGTAGAGTTGTCATGGATAATAACACAGTCCTTAATTTCTCCTTGCCTAGCCAAAGAAAATTTTCTGCTAGAGTAAACACTTATTACTGCACCTGGATAAATATTACATAACAGCCTATGACTTGAGGTATGGGTGGAGGGAAGCTTCCTGGATGTCTAGAAAAGAACAGGAGGATTTCAGGGGACATGTTTTCATTATCAGAGTATGATAGTATGGGTCCCTGTTTTTCAGAGTCTGTTACATGAACTAATAACCATTTTTGTCCCTGCAAAGTCCTGCTTCCTTGAATCTTACCCCCAAATTATCTAATGCAGGCATAAATCCTATTATAATTCCTAACATCCTCTTTCTGAGATGCCCCAGTTTCCCTTCATGTGCATTCCCCCTTGACACAAGTCAATAGACCCAACTTTGTTCAACTACAGGTATGTTCCCAATGGCCTTTGACTAGAAGACACTGACTCTGAGAATCCACGTAATGATCTAAACAATAAAAAAGGTAGGGTAAAACATTAGTAATATTAACCTACCCAAAGAGATGGCTTGTTAATACATTTCTGATGCAGCAAGGATGTTTTTCAATTCTCCTTCAGACACTTATGTGAAGGTGTAACTCAGAAAACATGGTTGACATGTAAATGATGTCAAAGAAGAAAAAATTTTTCTTTAATTCAGCACTTCCCGAAGTATCTTCCACAGAATATGAATTCCATAAGATGCTCTGTAAAAGACAAGCCTTCCATGTTTAAATCAGCTTGAGAAATACTGTAAACTCTAGTATTCCTCTCTTGGGGACTCATAATGCACGTTAAAGGCTCTATGGGGGTCCTGCAGGAAGACAGAAAAAAAAAAAAAAAAGCCTGATTTACACACAGTATCCCTCCCTTTTTTTGATCCTAAAAACTCTTGTGCACATTAACACATTCTAATACCCCGTAGAACTAATGTTCTATACAATCTTACTTGGGAAATGCTGATGTTATTATATAATTTTTCTGGAACAGAATTTTTATAGAAGAGAAAGAGAACCCCCACGTAATGGGCCAGTTCAACCAGCAAGTGTTAAAGTGTTTGGAGTCAGGGAGTTCTAAGCACTTACTTTTGGGTAAATTAGCATTTCTGAGCATCCATTACTTCATTTATAAAATGGAGAGTGTATTCATTTCCTAGGGCTGCCTTAACAAAGTACCACAAACCTGGAGGCTTAAACAACAGAAATTTATTCTCTCACAGTTCTGGAGGCTAGAAGTCTGAAATCCAGGTGTCAGTAGGACCATGTTCCCTTAGAATCCCCTAGGGAAGAATTCTCCTTTGCTTTTTCTAGCTTCTAGTGGTTACCAGCAATCTTTGGCATTCCTTGGCTTGTGGATGCATCACTCCAATCTTTTGACTTTCCCATGGTATTTTCTTCCGTGTCTTCACATCATCTTCCTACTACATATTCTGCGTTTCTGTGTCTTCTCCTCTTCTTACAAGAACACAGGTCATTCAGCTTAGGCCTATCTTAATCCAGTATGACCTCATCTTAACTAAATCCATCTACAAAGATCCTATTTCCAAATAAGGTCACATTCACAGGTACCTGGGATTAGGACTTGGATATGTCTTTTTGGGGGGACATAATTCAACCCACAACAAGGATATCTAACATCAATTTCATGGGGTTATTGTAAGCATTAAATGAGAAAGAGAGAGAGCTTCACACAGTACTTGGTACTGAGTAAATGCCCCCCAGCTCCTCCACCCTCAGGAATGTATGTAGAAATGACCTCGCTTCAACATCTGTCATCCCACTGACCATGAGGATGATGTTCTTATGTTTATATGGAGTATAAAAAGGAGACTCCTCTTCGTGTTTGCTAGAAGGGCATACTGTACAGAAATACTGATAACTCTTGGATTATTCTGACATGTTTATGATGAAAATCTCTCAAAACCACTCCACTCTTTTGCTTTCAGTCTATTTCTACCAGGCAACCTTCTAATAACCCACCTGCTTCAACAGGCCTCTCTGGAAGGGGGGACTTTGAATCGTGAACTGGAAGATTACAATAAAGGGAATGTAGAACCCCCCATTATAAACGTTCAAACCAGAATAACCAGAATTCTGGGTTAAAAATTATTTCCTGGTGAGTTTGACTTGTGTAAATTGATTTCTTTAGGCCTAGGAGTAGACTGACAAGATGAGAGTTCTCATAATGCAGAGCTGAGGGCCACCTCTTATTTCAGAGATGACTATAGGGCCTTAGTTCTGATGACATGAATAATGGCTCTCTGCTTTTGATCTGTCTCAAAAGCAAGTCTGAGTTTTCTTGCTTGGGTTATAGGGAGAATGGTGAGGTCATAGCTGGGATGAGGAGCACACACTCTAGAGCTCAGGAGAAAGGTCAAGGGTACAGAAGCAGTTCAGAAAGATGGTCACACAGAGCCTGGAAGTCTGTAAGCCTAACAGGAAAGGGAATATAGCAAAATGAGGAACTTGGAGATAGTGTTTTAACTCAGTCTTATAGAGAATTAAAATTTCTATTGGTTGAAACATCACCAAAGGCAAGGGAAGCAAGGGCAAAAATGAACTATTGGGACTTCATCAAGATAAAAAGCTTTTGCAAGGCAAAAGAAACAGTCAACAAAACCAAAGACAACCAACAGAATGGGAGAAGATATTTGCAAATGACATATCAGATAAAGGGCTAGTATCCAAAATCTAGAAAGAACTTATCAAACTCAACACCCAAAGAATAATCCAATCAGGAAATGGGCAGAAGACATGAATAGACATTTTTCCAAAGAAGACATCCAAATGGCCAACAGACACATGAAAAAGTGCTCAACATCGCTTGGCATCAGGGAAATCCAAATCAAAACCTCAATGAGATACCACCTCACACCAGTCAGAATGGCTAAAATTAACAAGTCAGGAAATGACAGATGTTGGCGGGGATGTGGAGAAAGGGGAACCCTCCTACACTGTTGGTGGGAATGCAAGCTGGTGCAACCACTCTGGAAAACAGTATGGAGGTTCCTCAAAAAGTTGAAAATAGAGCTACCATATGATCCAGCAGTTGCACTACTGGGTATTTACCCAAAGATACAAATGTAGGGATCTGAAGGGGTACGTACACCCCGATGTTTATAGTAGCAATATCCACAATAGCCAAACTGTGGAAAGAGCCAAGATGTCCCTTGACAGATAAATGGATAAAGAAGATGTGGTACATATATACAATGGAATATTATGCAGCCATCAAAAGGAATGAGATCTTGCCATTTGCAACGACGTGGATGGAACTGGAGGGTGTTATGCTGAGTGAAATAAGTCAATCAGAGAAAGACATGTATCATATGACCTCATTGATATGAGGAATTCTTGATCTCAGGAAACACACTGAGGGTTGCTGGAGTGGGGAGGGGTGGGAGGGATGGAGTGGCTGGGTGACAGACATTGGGGAGGGTGTGTGCTATGGTGAGCACTGTGAATTGTGCAAGACTGTTGAATCTCAGATCTGTACCTCTGAAACAAATAATGCAATATATGTTAAGAAAAAAAAAAAAGAAGAAGATAGCAGGAAGGGAAAAATGAAGGGGGGGAAATTGGAGGGGGAGACGAACTGTGAGAGACGATGGACTCTGAAAAACAAACTGAGGGTTCTAGAGGGTAGGGGGGTGGGGAGATGGGTTAGCCCGGTGATGGGTATTATGGAGGGCACGTATTGCATGGAGCACTGGGTGTTATGCACAAACAATGAATCATGGAACATTACATCAAAAACTGATGATGTAATGTATGGTGATTAACATAACAATAAAAAATTTTAAAAACCTTTCTATTGGTTGGCAGGGCTAGGACAGAAGAATCAGACTCCGAATCGAAAATGCTAGAGGTGGTACAGGCAGCACAACCCAAGTCCGTGAAGCAAGCACGGAGCTGGATTAAATGTCACAATTATGTATCTGGAAGGGCAGAGCACTAGAACCAGCGTCAACAAACAGAGCCTCAGGGGACAAAGAGACAAGGCATGAGAGAAATAAGACTGGTACGTGACTAGCCAAAGGAATTTTTTATTTCCATGGGTTTCATTACAAATGGCCTTTTTTTTTTTTTTTTTTTTTAAGGGATGGAGTCCTCTCCATATGGCCACAGAGAACCTACTCTGGTCTTAAAGACTCTGACTTTGGAGCCAGGATTCTGATAGAATCTTAGGGAAAGCTCCTATCTAACAGAGCAGGGAATAATCTGAAAAAAGTAAAATTAGACCTAAAAACAATCAAGTCCTTAGACTTTTTGACCATGAAGACCACTTCTCCTATCTCAAGACCCACAGGACTTGTGAATTGCAATGAGAAGGGCAGCCTGGGAAGGTTTGGAAGCAGCCTGCACTCCTCCCTGACTAGGGTGTAGCAAGCCTTCAGGGATACTGTCAGCTACAGATGCTGAGGAAAGTCCCTTATCATAGGCAGAGCATGGAATCCAGCAGGTATGACCACAGACAAGAGGTCATCAAAAAAGATGGTAACAGGTGTTCCACCAGGAAGTTGAGGGGTGTGGGGGAACCAAAACCACACCCTAGCAACAGGGACTCCTGAGCAACCGGGCAGCAAGGCAGAACTCATGGGGAAGCTCGTCTGTAAGCTGTAAGACCATTTAGAGCCAGACCACAGTGCAAGAAGAGGGTCAGTATAGGCAGGCCCTGAATCCTGGAGGCCCTGAGTTCTGAAGGTCCTGAGTCCTGATGTCCTTGATTCCTGGAGGCCCTGGGTTTTGGAGGCCCTGAATCTGGAGGCCTGAATCCTGGAGGCCATGAGTCCTGAGATTCCTGAATCCTAGAGGCCCTGAGTCCTGGAGGCCCTGGTCCTAGAGGTCCTGAGTCCTGAGATCCCTGAGTCCTAGAGGCCCTGAATCCTGGAGTCCCTGAGTCCTGGAGGCCCTGAGTCCTGAGATCCCCGAGTCCTAGAGGCCCTGGGTTTTGGAGGCCCTGAGTCCTGGAGGCCCTGAATCCTGGAGTCTGGAGGCCCTGGGTTTTGGAGACCCTGAGTCCTAGAGGCCCTGGGTTTTGGACGCTTTGAGTCCTACAGGCCCTGAATCCTGGAGGCCCTGAATCCTAGAATCTGGAGGCCCTGGGTTTTGGAGACCCTGAGTCTTAGAGACCCTGGGTTTTGGAGGCTTTGAGTCCTAGAGGCCCTGAGTCTGGAGGCCCTTGGTCTTGGAGAGCCCAAGGGCTTGGGCACAGAGACTCAGGCCAGGGATGCCAAGACAGGGGTCCATTTTCCCTAATGAGGTGGAGACCAAATCTCATGAAAAAGAGAGATGCCCAACTTTAGAGTCAAGGCACAAAGTCAGGATCAGATCACCCCCTAGGGTAACTGAGTTCCAGAGCTGCTTCTATGCCTCTGCCTGAGATTGGGATTAGTTCTGGGGCCTGGAGGAGACTGGAGTGGGAGTGGCCGATGGCTGACAAACAGCCTCAGTTGCAGGGGAAGGATACCCTACAGAAGCTGGAGCTTGGATTCCAAGAGCATCTTAATCCCTGGAAAGCTTAAGAAAGAAAATACAGATTCCCTTCCTAGAAGCCGCATCTAACTAACAGCCACAGGCTAAAAGCAGGACTAGCTCAGTTCCAAAATTCCGTTCACCTCAATACTTTCTCTAGAGAATCCTTTAAAACATTTTGATTGCTCTTTCCCGCCCATATAAAATACATCTGACCACCTCACATTTCAACATTTTAGACTGTTCTTAAAAAGAAAAAGAAAAAGAAACTGCCTGCTATACGTGACTGTAGAAATCAGCCAGACCAATTAAGTACGTGCCAGGAAGCTGAGAAGTACACGAAGAGGTACATTCAAGGAAAATTAGGAAATAAATGGAGAGCCTAATTTCCACTGCCTTGGCAGGAAAGGAGAAAGAGCACGTGCACAGCTCCTGTACTGAAAAGGAGCCGGGGACAAAGAAAGAATTAGGCTTTGTCTCCTGCGGCTTTGCTGGTAAGGAAACAACAAAGAAGAAACAGCGAGAAACAGCAGGAGACAGGGATTCCATATTTCGGTTATGAAGAAAACCAAATGTGTTGCATGGCCGGTTAGAATCTGCTGTGGACGAATGGCTTCCACTGATGCTTGGAATGTCTGTGTGGTCAGAGCAAAGCTGCAACCGTCCAGAACATCGCAGAGATTATTTTCATGTGTACTTAGAAAAATACCTTTTTTTTTTTTTTTAAGAAAAATACATTTTTGGACAGGGCCTGAGGACCTCCTGTCACAGAGTCCCTCCCCCCGCCCCCCACCCTTCCGCCACCCCCATCAGCCCTGGCTGGGACTGTGCACCCGCAGGTGTGCTCACCTTCAGTGCTGAGCTCGGGGCCTGCGACCTGTCTCAGAACCTGAAGCCCGAGGCACTCAGACACGCCGACACAGACACGTCCCGGGGAGCAACAAGCGACAAGCATTACACAACCGGAGGCTGTGAGATCACGATACACCGCTGAAGAACAGAGAATCTGCTGGAGAATAAAGGTCGGTGCAGTCCGCAGCATCTTTACAAGGAATTAATGATGGGATTTGGGTGCAGCACCTAAGCTGTGAGCCCCAGGACAGGAGAGTTGACCGCCGTAGCCTCCCAGATTACCACTAGGTGACGTCCTGGGTCCTCTGTTTGGCCACTGTCTCTGGGACTTCGAACTCTCCCACTGAGAATCCTTCCAGCAAGTTAACAGCAGGCCCTTGGTTGTCTGATTTCGTCAGCTACCCTCACTTCCCTCACTTCAAGCTACCCGCCTGGGCCAGGCCTGCCTGAGGGTTCTGGGAAAGTACACGTCCTCTGTCAGCCACAGATGTTTGCCCATTCAAAATGAGCAGCATGCGGTCGGCGCTCTGCAAAACTCCTTCCGTGTGTTAGCTCAATTAGTCCCCAAACAGCCCTAGGTAATCTGAACTGGCTCTTTTATAGATGAGGAAAATTAAAGTGCAAAGATATGGAATAGCTTGTGTGCCCAAGTTCACTTGTCACTTAGTGGTGGGATGGGGCTTAAACCCAGCTCCAGCCCTCTGTCACAAAGCTCCTCTGTCTCTGTCTGCGCAGCAAATACCGGGTCCTGGGTACCTGATGGGGAAGAAAATACAACCTCAGACCTAAAGGAACCTCCGGAGTGGTGAATAAACCAGACAACTTAACAGACAAAGCCGGGCGAGAAGGGCCATCAGAATGAAATGACATAGGGAATGGCCTTGGGGAACAAGAGCGTTTTTAAGGTACTAAGGGGAAAGGTTGGCTAGGGAGAGGGGCCAGGGGTTCCAGACAGAGCACCAGGCTGTATGAAGAGACTGGCTGCTGAGAGCACAGGGCAAGTTTGGGGAATGGCAAGTGATAACAGTCTAGGTGAAGCATGAAAGGGAGGATGAGGTGGGCAGAGGGTGGTTTGAAAGTGACCTAAATCCACACAAAGGAGTTTGGGTTTTATTCTGAGGGCAGTGAGGGCCCTTGAATTGCAGAAAGCAGATGTGTATTTTTTAGAAGGGTGATTCTGGCAGCGGGTGGAGGACAGTTGGGAAGGAGGCAAGCCTAGGTTCGGAGAGACTGCAAGGAATGCTCCTGTGCTTGTCCAGGGCAGAGGGGGTGGACATAGCTGGATGGGACTGAGAGATATAAAGAAAAATGAGAGGTGGCCAGAGTTGCTGATGGACCAGTTATGGAATGTCAAGGAAAGTGGGCAGGGCGGGGGGGGGGGCGTGGATCTTCTCAGGTCTTTGCTGAGAGAATGGTGCCTTCCACTAATAAAAAGAACATAAGAGGAAGATGCTGTTTTTAGGCGGGGGATGAGTTCAATTTGAGTTTGAGAGGGAATGAGTTTGAATTTGAGGCTTTTGTGACACATGTAAATGGAACTGTCCCCTTGCAGTCTAGAGCTGGGGTGGAGGGGCTAAGGGAGCCTGCTGAATGTATGGCTCATCAGCACTTGATGGTGACTGAAGCCAGAAAAGTTGGAAGACCTCACACAGGGGCATGAGAACAGAGAAGGAAAGAGGGCCAGAGACAAGACCTTGGGGTGACATCACCAATTAAGAGACAGGCAGAGAACAGGAGCCTGGAAAGATGGTTGACAAAGGCTGGTCAAACCCCAAACCAGAAGAGACGAATCAAGAATACAGTGTTAAGGAGGCCAGGAGAAAGACTTGTTGAAGGAGCAGGTGGTCAGTGGGGACAAAAAGTCTCAGGGGACTCTGCAATAAGAAGGCTATCAGTGACCAGAGGGGTGGGTGGAAGCCCAAGGACAGGTGTATCAGTGGAGAACATGACTGCTGAGCTGGGAGAGGACACCTTCCAGTTCTGCAGCTGTGAAGGGCATGTTGCTGGAGGAAGATTTTGAGTCCGGGAAGGAAGCTGCATGTCTTCTTTTCTCTGGAGACACCTTGATTATGACTCTTAGCCAAACTCCCTCCAGTGACTTGGGTCTCTTCCTCTCTTCATTTCTCCTTCTCTCTTCCAACTTCATCCACCTGAACTTCTAGACTAGAATGTACTCTCTGTACCTGAAGGCTAGCAGACCTGGTCTGACTCCCAACCCTCCCACTTTCTAGCTGCGTAACTCTTACTCTCTGCCCTTCAGCTTCCTCACCCTCAAAGTGTGGCTAAAAAAGAGAGCCTGTAGGATTGTTCTGAGTTGTAAATCAAGAATGTGCTCACTCCACACAGTGGGTGGTCAAGCAAATGCCGGTGTTCTCTTCTACCTAATTCTGTAACCTATTCGACTTTTTGTTTTTGCTTGTCCTCTCACACTTTATCTCCCTGAACTTCTGGGCTCACTGTTGTCACATCTTTCTCATCTTCCTCTTTTTAATATATGGCAATCGCTGCCCTGCCCCATCCCCACCATCTCAGAGCCGCCTGTGAATCATACAGGACTGGGATAAGGTCGTCTGTTCTTGTTCAACAGCGGGTTCTGCTGCTCTTTCTCAAACTTCCTTCTCAGTTACTCTAGAATTTGATCTTCCGGTCTTATCAGTGAAACCTCCACTCCTTCTCTGTCTTCTGTGGTCCTGAGTACTTGTGGTTTTCCATTTTCTGATTGTTCAGCCCTTCTGAATCCACTGTTATCTCTTCTTTACCCAATTGTGGACCACCACTGGAGCCCCACTGGGGTCCTCAGCTCACCACTCTCTATAACCCCCCACAAGAACTCACCCACCATGGAGACGATACCCCATCTCTCTGCCTCCGACTCCCAGAGGTCTCTTACATATGAAAATACCATATTTTCATCTTAAAATTTACAAAGAATTTTTTTTTCTCAGTTACCTCATTTGTTCCACTTGACTATCTTTTGAGATAGGCTGAGTTGGCATTTTTATCTCAATTTTACAAATAAAGAAAAAGAACTCAGATCTAGAAAATGTAAGTGGTTTCTCCCGAATTCTAACCTAAGCTATACTCCTACATTTCTAGTCGTCTGCAGGATAGCCTTATTTGGAGATTCTGTCTCTACCTCAAATCTTACTTGGGTCTATCCTCCCTCTCAAATCAATCCCACTCAGCTGATGTTAGGGACTGAATGTTTGTGCGCCCCCAAAATTTGTATGTTGAAGCCCCAACCTCCAATGTGACTATATTTGGAGACAGGGCTTTGATGGAGGTAATTGAAGTTAAATGAGGTGATACGGTAGCATTCTGATCCAGTAGGACTAGTGTCCTAGGAGAAGAAGCACACTCTGCCATGTGAGGACACAGCCAGATGGTGGCCACCTACAAGCCAAGAGGAAAGGTCTCAGAATAAAACCTATCATGTCAGCATCTTGATCTTGGACTTCCAGCCTCCAGAACTGTGAGAAATAAATTTTTGTTATTTAAACCACCCAGTCTGATATTTCCTTATGGCAGCTGGAGTGGACCAATATAGCTGGTGACCATTTGGGGAATGTTTTCTTTCATTTTTCTCTTTCTTTTATATCTCACATCCAATCAATGGACAGAGTTATCTCCACTATTTTTATATGATGTGCCTTGAACTCTACCCTTCCTCTCTACGTACAAAGTCACGACTGTAACCTTGGGTTTTGTTAGCTGATGCCTAGAAACCATTAGCATCTCCTGACCTGTATACCATTGCAAGAGTAAAGCAGTTAAAACATCACAGAACCATGAGATTTGCTGGTCCAGGGGAATTCCCGGCTCCGTCAGACCTCTCCCTCTCCCCCTCACTTATGTCTACATCCTCCCCCATGTCACCATGAGTTTGAAGTTCTCCACAGTATGAGGCTTCTGCTTTAATAATCACCCTGCAGGGGCGCCTGGGTGGCTCAGTCGTTAAGCATCTGCCTTCGGCTCAGGTCATGATCCCAGGGTCCTGGGATCGAGCCCCGCGTCGAGCCCCGCGTCGGGCTCCCTGCTCAGCGGGAAGCCTGCTTCTCTCTCTCCCTCTGCCGCTCCCCCTGCTTGTGTTCCCTTTCTCGCTGTCTCTCTCTCTGTCAAATAAATAAATAAAATCTTTAAAAATAATAATAATAATCACCCTGCAGTTCACAACCCCCCCGCAAATGCTCTTCGTTTTCTCTGACGACTTTAGAGTATAACTTAGATTTTAGCCCCCAGAGCTGCTGTATACTGTGGAATGGCAAATAGGACATTCTTTATATAGCTCACAGAAATATTCAGAGGAGGGAGTTGGGGTAAGGTCTGGAGCTAGATCTGCCACTTGCGAGCGTGGGGATCTTTTTGCAGGTGACGTATCTTCTCTGCGCCTCACTTTCCTTGTCTGTAAATGGCACGAGGAGTGTGAAGTATTTCACACAGTTTGAGCACTCAACAATGTTAACTATTATGATGAAACTTCAAATTTGGGGCCTAGGGAAACGATTTAAAAGGCGAAAAGGCTCTCAGAGTATTAGTAAAAAATATAAAAGCGAGCCTGAGAGATGATTTGATTTAAAAGTAAATAAGTATGAACTGAATGTTGTTGGAGTGGGGGGTGGGGTGGGAGGGATGGGGTGACTGGGTGATGGACACTGGGGAGGGTGTGTGCTCTGGTAAGCGCTGTGAATTGTGCAAGACTGTTGAATCTCAGATCTGTACCTCTGAAACAAATAATGCAATATATGTTAAGAAAAAAAAAAAGAAGAAGAAGAAGAAGGTAGCGGGAGGGGAAGAATGAAGCGGGGGAAATCGGAGGGGTAGACGAACCATGAGAGACAATAGACTCTGAGAAACAAACTGAGGGTTCTAGAGGGGAGGGGGTGGGAGAATGGGTTCGCCTGGTGGTGGGTATTGAGGAGGGCACATTCTTCATGGAGCACTGGGTGTTGTGCACAAACAATGAATCATGGAACACTTCATCTAAAACTAATGATGTAATGTATGGGGATTAACATAAGAATAAAATTTAAAAAAAAAAGTAAATAAGTATGGTGTCTGTGCTGCGGGGAAGCAGTGGAGGGCAGCAGGTGTGGGCAGAGACTCCAGATGTGAGCACTGATTCTTTCACTCACTAGCGCTGTGACTAGTTACTAGCAAGTAACTGCATCGCCCTGTGCCTCCACTCCTCCTCAGTAAAATGGGGGCAGTGATAAGACTAGCCACTCCTTCACAGGGTTACTCTGAGGTTGAAGGGCAATGATGCTTGAATGGCACCCAGACCAGGGCTGGGGTGAGAGAAGGCACCGTGTGGATCACAGACTGAGCCCCCCAAGTTGTGCACAGAGGATGCAACCCTTTGGATCAGAGGATTCTACAACATGTTTGTCCCTCGAAATCCCAGAGGCCCCAGAGTGCTGAACTGATACATCCCCCCAAACAGGGAAGTATCACCGAGTGCCTGATTCTTAAAATGCAAGACTGCTAGCTTAGCCCTTACTTGAAACTGACCCCAAATGTCACGGCAGACACGTAAAGCTTCATATACTTTCTTGCCTCCTCAGAACAGTCTTATGCTTTCAGAATTTTTCCAAAGGGATAAAGTAAATTAAGTTTTAGAGACCAAAATAGAAAGAGAGACAAAAAGAACTGAGATTACAACATCTTTTGAATGAGGAACTGAGCTGGTCCCCAGGCTTCCAGAATACATGGGGGGCGGGGAGGAGGGGTGAACCACAGAGGGGCCCGCTTCCATGGAG